CTAACACGCTTATGAAGAGCACATTAATTTCCACTAGAACACCATTAAGGAAATTAGTTTGTTCTGACGGTTTGTGTTGCTGGATACCATATGTTTACCTTGAGGGAATGTTTGTGGAGAACCACTTTGGGTTAATTGTAAATGTCACAAATAAGTAAATATACAGAACTGTATCTGTGATCTGCATCGGTGCACAGACACTGTACCAGCACACTGGTGTGCTGTGTAATGTGTGTACACATAAATGTGTACTTTTACGTACTAAATCCATAGTGATCAGCTTATCTGGACACGCAGACATCAGTACAAACAGCACCTGCATTTTGTCTCTCTGATCTGTTTATCATCGCATACATATGGCACTGCACCATGCCCTTCTTTCTATTTAATGCCCGTCGCTGCGAGCTCTGAGAACCCAGCACTGAGCTTCCCTGTGGCTGGTGGCAGGTGCTGCACCTCTAATTCATCTGGCACAAAGAAAGGTGAGGAGTGGGAGAAGGAGGAACCAGATACCGTGTTAAAAATCTCCGATCAGCTGGAGTCACACTGCAGATTACAAAGGTTCCAACATGCTGCCTTCCAGTGTTGGCAGTCCCCCTCACAATCTGTACAGGAGCCGAGGATTTTCAGCACCTTGACAGATTAAACCTTAAGAACAAACCTGTCACATAGGTCTTTATGCTGCAAACTTGAGGCCAAGCTCAGTAACATCCTGTTAGTCTTCTACATTGCAGAGGCCTGGAAAAAAATGATTTTCTGTTTCGCCACTGACTTCAGTGCAACCAGGCTTCCCCCCCCCAAGGCAAATTTATTCCTATAGATTGTAGCTGCTTCTGCAATCCTTAATTCCCCATCCTTAAATAATCACACTTTGAGCCAGACCAGGTATGGGTGCAGACATTGCCAGGTGGTGTTGACCATTACTGGGTTATTAACTCCCCTTATGCCCTAGGATACCTTTTTTCTTTCCCCTATCAAAATGCATTTCACTGATTTAAAGGCCTGATCCAAAATGTACAGGAATAAATAGAAATCTTTCTGCTGAACACTGAAAAAAAGATTTTAAAGGGAGTCAGTCATCGTTTACAGCAGGAATGTCCGTTTAACAGAAACAGGCAATCTAATCTGTTGGGGCAACATTAATCCAGGGAAAACATTTTGTGAGGTATCCAGAGCTTGTTAACACAGCTAACACCTAAGGCAGCAGCAGTGTGTCTTGGAGCTCTACTAATACTGTACAACAATAATTTTTGTGGAAGAAAATCATCCCCTCTCCCTGAACAGAAACAAGACGTGTTATTGACTGCCGTCCAGAAAGATGTATGATCTGGCCCTCCGAGTCTATTAATATTTGATGCTGATGGATGGTGAGCTGGTAGACTGAGTTATTAATGGAGTTTGGATCCTTGGGCCTAACCCTCGCTATGTAGGGGAGAATTAACAATATCAAGAGCTGTATGCCCAAACCTCTCGTGGCGCTAGAAAAGTCTGTTGTCTGGTTTTAGCAACAGTTAGTATTTCTGAAGTACTTCAAGGTATGGAAGGTCATATGGGTGGTATTAGTTACATTACTGCCACCATTCACTTTGATTTAAAGCTGACTCTTTAAGGTCCCAGGGATCACTGATCCCTCACCTTTATCTTTTCCATGTTGGGATATTCCTGTCAGATTCAGAGTTCTAACAAGAGGCTCACTCTGCTTCTGAGCAGCTGAGAGGTGTCACCTCCCAGACTGGGAAGGTGAATACAAAGCAGAGGGCGCGAACATCCCATTCATACATGGAGCCAGGCATTTACTGGAGCTGGCCCCAGTCCCAATTCCCATGAAGAGAATTTTTCCATTATGTTAGAGTCAGATCTGACCCCTGAAATTAGGAACGGGTACACTGGATAGATTTCAGGGTTATATTTCGATAAATGAGGTTTTCCGAGTGAAAATGATGAAGGAAACGAAGCACTTCTGAAAGTTTGTGATGTCCATATGGATCATTCTGACTTGGAAAACAGAGATGTGAAATACCAAGTTATTTATAGCTAGACTTCTTAATATAGCTTTAACATTTTCAGGGGTATACATTTGATTGAATTAGCTACTCCTTCCTATCACGTACACCACATCCAGGCTTTTCACTACTCTCATTAACCTCCTGATCTTAATAGAAGAAAGAATAATCAACATAAGGAGCACAGCTGTTGATTAATTTTACTAAACAGATAGAAATATAAAGTACCAGATTGCAAGAGTGAAGATTCAATCCACAACAGCTGAAATCAGTTTGAAAGAACATATACCTCATTAACAACTGGATGGACATATACCTCAGCCTTATTCACTAGGGCAGGTAGGAAGAGGGAAGTGGAATTTCCATATCTTTAACAATACCTGAATGCATTTTGTTTCATAGGTCACCCTCCCAAATCAAGTTCAAAATGTTAATAACGAGGCGTGCATTTATAATTAATAAAACCTTAGAGCCAGTGCTATAGTTCAAGTGCATTTTCCTCTTATGTAATTAAGAAGTGAAGTGTATTTGGCAGTTGTCACTCGGCAAGCTCTGAAGGTCCCGCTTGTCAAACCCAGTGACAGAAACCTCATTAAGCCAGTTATTTTCTCAGTTAAAGTTTCTTTGCAAAGTGAGTGTGTGTAGGGTGGACAGCCGGAATGACCACCTTCTATTAGTGCATAAAGTATAGCACATTAAAGCAAAGGCCAAAACTCAAACGCATGCTGCATAAAGATGAAGCAGCCTGGTGTTAAGCTGGTGGACAGCACCTTTTCTTTGGGATGACCAAAGTGTCTGTGTCTGACTACCCTCCACACAGAGTAAGCCTATGGAAAACCAGTGAATCCACACCAGCCTGTTGCGCACATGGCCAGCAGGAGCTTACTGCATAACACGAGCTGATGTGCAATCACAGAAAGTCAGTGAGGAACTGGAAATCCACCTTCTGCTTCAACCCATGGCCCAGATGCTGGTTTAGTTAGTCACAGAATTGTAGAACACACAAAATAGTTTGTGTGGAAGGGGCCTTAAAGCTCATCCAGTTTCAACCCCCTGCCGCTGTCAGGGACACCTTCCACCAGACCAGGTTGCTCAAAGCCTGGGACAACCTGGTCATTCCTCTCTTAACCTGCAGTTTTCCAGACCTCCTCTGGTCTCTCAAACTTCCACCTTCAAGGCACTTTTCCAGTTCCCAAGGGGATATTTTAGCTCCACATCACTCTGTTCTATTTCTCTTTTCAAAGGAATTTTCTTTCACTTCCAGATCACAAGTTCGAATTCCGATAAGGTCAGTTGTCATAGAAATTATTACCAGTACCAGCAGTTCTGTGTTGTACATGAAATGAGTTGGGAGTTTCATTCACACAAGATGTGGCTTTTTAAGTGGCACTAATTGGCTGTCTAATTGTTACACACAGGAGAAAGGCAGAGGATTGATTAGCCGTGGAGACTGAATGCCCCTCTGCCATCCTGCTCGGCTCTGGGTTCCCAAGCTCATTCGGTAGGCATGCTGGCAGGGTAATGAGGGGCAGCCTGCTTTGGATTTTCTGCCTGTCAAGACAGCATCTTTTACTGCCAGGCCTTTTCGGGGGAACTTGTTTTACTCCATCAAGGTCAAAGATAGCATCTTCTGCAAACACTGCTTTCACTCAAAAATCAGGGACTTGAAGGATTTACTTCTGAGCAACATGGATTTTATCCGTTTCTTTTACTTCCCCTAAACCAAAGGTTTTAGTATAAAATAGGCTGAGTCATCCTGGTGCTAGGCAGAACTGCTACAGCAAGCATATGGGGTTTATGGTGCTCAAGAATCTGTTCATATTTCCTTTTACTGTCTCAGTGTCTGAGGCTGTGATATACAGGCTCCTGGATGTACTTGCCACAGCATAGGGAAGCTGACACTGTGTGCATTTATCTCCTGATAAATGGATCCTCCTATCAAACAGTGGAGCCTCTCACCTCCAAAAATACATTTTGACCAGTATCTTTTCCCCTGAGCAATGGTATAGGTCACACTGTGCAATGTAGTTACTCTTGAACTTTGGAGTAGGAGAGCTTTCTCTGACATAGAACTAAATTATTGAAGTTTGACTCACTGAAAAAGTAAATTCCAGAGCTAATTTGTGATGGGAAAGTCAGGACTACACACAGAAGAAAAGGAAACAGAAACAAACTGTATACGCTGATGTATATAGAACCGACTAGGGGACTCAGTAAGTAGGCTTAAAGGAATTGTGCTCCCATTTTTATGATGTCGTTTCATCAGATGAACAGCATTAGCAAGAACTGTCTCTCAGCCACACCAGTCAATCAGTGCATACAGTACCATAGTTTACTGTTGAAATACTCTGTTTTTGTAACATACAAGTATTCACCCTTACTTTTGCCACACCTAAAGCAGAAACAGGACAGAGACTGGCGCTGTGTGCCTCCTCTCTCTGACGTGCCCATCACTCCTTGTTCAGCATTCTTCCTAAAGCCACAGTCTCATTCAAATTAATTGAAAACAAATGCAGGTACCAGCCATGCATCAAACAGGTCCCATGCACCTGCTGTGTAGTTTCCCTCTCTGCCAACCTGTGGAAGCCGAGGAGGGACGAGCTCCTTTAGCTTTTTAACAGCCCTATTCTTAGAATCTATTTTCCAAGAACTGCAGAGCAATCTTTGCACAGTTTCAGACTGTATATTTTGTGATTAGTGTTTTGTAAGTGATGTTTTGCTTAATGATCTGACATCTGTTCTAGGAGGTTTGTTTTTGTAACTTCCCCACCTCCTGCTGAATGAATGCCAGAAACTTGTCCCTTTCCTCCAAGTCAATCAAAGCACTAATTGCATCATAATCATGGGAAGCAGCGGTAACTGCTCAAGTGCTGAAGATTCAGCAATCAGCTCATAACACTGTTCACTGTTTTGAAAGAGAAAGCCTCCCTGTGCAGAGATGGGAATTTCCTGCGATTCCAATTCCTTCAGCTCACTCTGATGTTTTTGGGTTTGCAGGGAGATGACTGCACCATTACCTGCATGGCAGGAACCTATGGAACCAACTGCTCATCAGTTTGTAATTGCAAAAATGATGGTGCGTGTTCCCCTGTGGATGGTCTGTGCTATTGCAAAGAAGGTAAACAAAATTCAGATTTAACAATTGTCTGCAGTTTGGCATCAGTGCTGCTCCCCTTTTCAAGTGGCACAGCTGTGCAGTCACTAACTCCACTATTTTATTGTGCCTGTCGGTAATTCAACTGTCTGCCCAAGTATCAAAACTCAACAGGGGCTTGACTGGATGTTTTGTCTCTGCCCTGAGCGGGGGCCAGACTTCCCTGCTGTGCTGCAAGAACAGGTCACAGAACTAAGTGTGCTCACAGATCTGTGGCTCCTCTCCAGAGGAAATGCCGAGCAATCCCCAGGCTGCTGGGTTTCTTCTCTATCATTTTGCAGCCCCATTTCTCCAAGAATCCAAAGCCCCTCCATGTTCCCCCCTCCATGGCCAGAGTGACACAAGTGGGCTGGGGGCAGAGGCTCTGTTTAGTCTTTAGCCCATTGCACTGGGCTGTGGCAGCCATGGCTATCCTCAGCAGGCCTGACCCTGCCTGCAGACTGCTTGCCTCCAGCTTGGGCTGCTCTCATTCCCACAGGTTTTCGTGGTAATCTGGGCTCCAGCTGATCCCAGCTGCCAACCCTGCACTCGGTTACTGTGGAGTGGGCTCTGGCTGTCTGCCCTTGCTGCCATCCTCAGTTCCCTGTCCTCCCTGTGCCTTAACACAGTGAAACCTGAGCCATAGAACCACAGACTGGTTTGGGTTGGAAGGGACCTTAAAGCCCATCCAGCTCCAACCCCTGCCATGGGCAGGGACCCCTTCCACTAGAGCAGCTTGCTCCAAGCCCCTGTGTCCAACCTGGCCTTGAACACTGCCAGGGATGGGGCAGCCACAGCTTCTCTGGGCACCCTGCGCCAGCGCCTCAGCACCCTCCCAGGGAAGAACTTCCTAATATCTAATCTAAATGTTCAGGTACCTTCTGTCTCCTGAGCTGACATGGGGTTGCAGGATGGGGCTGTCCTTTATCTAGGGAAACAGGAAGTCTTCCCTGATCCAGAGTATCCTTGCAAGACTAACATCTTTGCTTCCCACATATGTCCATAATTCCCTTGTCTGCTTGGTAGTGAGCATAAGCCATGTGTTCAGTAACCACTTGAGAACTCTGGGACTGCTCCATAGCAGTGTCTCTTCTGCTCCCTGTGTAGCGAGTGGTACCCTCCCCCAGAATCCCAACATGAGCTATGCCTGTGTGGCATGCGTAAGCCCTAAAACAAAAGTGAGGCAAATAACGATAAAATCTGGCATTTCAAACAGGAATTAATGGATCACTGTAGAGCCCCATTTAATGAGGGTGTATAAACCATGAGTTACTGCTCAACTCCATTACATACAGCTGCAGTGTAATGAAAGCCATTGTGCAGCTGGTAGTTAAGATTTGAGCCTTAATGGTTAGAAACGATGGCCTTGGTCTTTTTTCAGGTGTCATAGCTTCTTTGTATTAAACAGCATTCTCAAAAAAGATACAAGGTAAGAAACAGGCAGCATCAAATGACAAGTTTCTTGCATTCTCACTGATCAGCAGGTCCCTACCCTGACAGACAGTACTGCACTATCTTGTGTTGTCCAAGCAGGTCCCAGAGAGGTATACCTGAATCTGGTGAACATCCAGCACAGTGATGTATCACCCTCCTGTATGTATAGATGCTAGCGGATGAAGTTGGGAGGTCATAAAAATAGGGCCAGCCTTTGACTCCAAGATAGTCTTAATTTATCATAGAAACACAGAATCCCAGACTGGTTTGGGTTGGAAGGGACCTTAAAGCTCATCCAGTCCCAACCCCCTGCCACAGGCAGGGACCCCTTCCACTAGAGCAGCTTGCTCCAAGCCCCTGTGTCCAACCTGGCCTTGAACACTGCCAGGGATGGGGCAGCCACAGCTTCTCTGGGCGCCCTGTGCCAGCGCCTCAGCACCCTCACAGGGAAAAATTTCATCCTAATGTCTAATCTAAATCTACCCTCTGTCAGTTTAAAGACATTTGCCCCATTTACATCAAGATGAGGAGGAAACCGGCCCTAGAATCAAAGATCTGCACTTTTCAAACTGCTGCCTCTACCTTGCTTTTTCCATGAAAACATCCCAAATCTTCTCTCATATGTTTCCTTAGGCTGGCAAGGAGTGGATTGCTCTATTCCATGTTCAAGTGGAAGCTGGGGTCTTAACTGTAACCAGACATGTTACTGCACAAACGGAGCAGCCTGCAGGCCAGCTGATGGCTTTTGTCTCTGCTCACCCGGATGGCAAGGGGAGTACTGTGACCAGCCATGCCCTGTAAGTATAACTGCAGGGGTCTTGCACCCCCTTTAAAGCCACCCACCACATAGCTTTTCTGAACGCACAGTAGGTCAGTGTCTCATTTTGTCTGTGGATGGCTGAAGGAAATCATGTGTAAATAACAGATTGGCATTCTGGCAGTCAAGTAGATGTGTTCTATTTTGCATTATATTGTATCAGAGCTATTGCTCTGTTATCTGCATTTGCTTGAACATCATTTTCTAAAGTGATTCCTCATTTGGTTCTCTATAGAAATGTTACGCACTGAGTTGTTTTTATCCTCCCTGTATGTTAATTTAAAAAATGCAACTCAGCATTGAGGGACATGATGGATGATTTTGCACATTTTAGAACAAAAAACTGATTACTGAGAGACTTTTTTATTTATATTTTTGGAAGGATGGAACATATGGTCTTAATTGCAGTGAACGTTGTGACTGTAGCCATGCAGATGGGTGTGATCCTGTCACCGGTTACTGCTGCTGTCTTGCAGGCTGGACAGGTAAAATTAGCCATTACCTTTGTGAACCCTGGGGGTTTTGCTGTTTGGTGGGGGTTTGAGGGCTTGTTTGGCTTGGCTTATTGCATCAGTTATAGCACTGGACTTGTGACTGCAAACCTCTAAATAACAGATGGAGGCAAGATCAGCTGAACTTAACCATATTTAAATCACTTGTGATGGTGACAATAACTGGCATTCATTAAATTTGTATTCAGATTAGTTGAAGATGGCTCCAAACTGGAACCAGATGTTAGCCTTCTGTAAAGAGAATCCTCAGGAGGGCTGCAGATCATCTGGAAATCCTGCAGAGATTTTCTCCTTGAATAGCCCTTTCTGTGGGGGTGCAGTTGTGGTTCAGTGAATCCTAGGACCATCATACCTGGTGATGCAGAGGTGTTTTCTGAATGAGTCATTACAGCTGCTCCATCATGAAAGACTCAGTTTCATTAGAAAAAGTCTTCATGCTTTTCCTATTTTCCCTTCTTGTCAAGCAGAAGGGTAGCCCTGGAGCGTGGGTCAGTGCTGGTTTGACAAGGAGTTCTTGTGATTACACAGAGGCAGGGAAGAATATTCCAAGAAGTCAGAGAGTCCAGGCTGGAGGTCTCAGTACAATCAGACCTGCACTTGACTCCGCACTGACATGTCTCATTGCCAGCTTTCGACAGCTAACAGAACAGCAGCAGGGGCAAGTTATTGACCCTACCAGTATTTCACACTCAGCTGCCTAAAATACCGGTTAATCTCCCTCAGCTTTCTGTAAAGGCCCTAGAGGGAAATAAACTTAGATTCTTGCCCATAACCGCAGAATCATCAGTGGCACTGGCAATCAGAATGCATTTATATTGACAACAATTCATTTGGAAAGTTTGTTTTCCCAACAAGTACAAGTTGGAAGAATATATGGAGCAAGGCAGGTGATCAGGCAGCCAGCATTTGGGATACTGTCACCTTACCTCTGCATTTACACCTTAAACAGTGCATGCCTTCTATTTCTGATGAAGAGAATATTGCCACAGCAGCTCAGCTCCTAGAAGCATGAAGTGAAATTAAACCTAGAATGTACAATGGAAAAAAACTTTGAAGGATTAAATAAAATGCAGAAATAGAAAGTTCTACACTGCTTACAATAAAGGCACTTTTCAGAGATACTGGGCAGGCATCCCTGAAAAGAGCATTTTTTCCCCCAAGAAAATCCATTTTATAAGCTCACTAATATCCCGTCCTCTAGGTTGCATTCTTCATGCACTGGGCTGCATTCATCTTTCTTTGAGCCTCTTCACCATCAATATATCCATCTATCAGGCTTTAAAACTCTACTGTGCATTATTGATGATCATCAGAGAAAGAGTTGGTAGGCTTCCCTGTAGCCATTGTGAGTTTCTTCAAGGGAGAAATGGTCTTTAAAAGTACAGTAAATTAAAGAGATATATTTATACACACTTCCTCTAAACGTTTATTGCGCACCTTTCTGGATGTAGCATTCCAGAAGAAACTTCAGGAAATGCACTTTGCAGACAGTGCAGACTGAAGGTCTGGCTTCTTCTCAAAGGTCTTTGCAACAAATACTTTATATTTACTCCCATCCACATCTGTAAATGTACATCAAACGCAGATACAAATTACTCCAAGTAAAGGTAAGAATAATGTCTGTGGTGACCTTCTTTAATCTCCGTACTAGACAGGATTTTATCTGTAGCTGTTGTGAACTGGGCCAAGATGTTTATTGCAGTGCATTTTATAAACATGACACGATAAATAATTCAGGCTTATTTTTTTTTGCTTTCTGACTTTGGTGCTAACTAGGCATGGCCTGAAAAAGATCAGAAAAGTTCAGGCTCATGGAACATCTGAGGCTTTTCTTGCCCGCTCACACCAGGCAGAATTCACATGGCTTTCTGATCCTAATAGCCACAAAACTTCATCTGAAACAGCATATTCTGTATGTTCATCCCACACGTGGGACTGCTTCTTGATGTCAGTGTTTTATGCAAAGATCAAGGAGAAGACTGAACCCATTTTCTTTAAAGTGGTTTTTGAGATGTTACTGATATAAACCTGGAGAGACTGATAGATGGTAGGAGCATGGAGGAAGAGTGGGAAAAGAAGGAGAAAAAAAGGCATGTAAAAGATTGCATACAATGTAAGTTAATAGCAGTCTGCCATCCTTTTACTAGGTTATGACTGCCACCATCAACACTATTATTCAGGACAATGCCCTTCTATGTGTACCAGCTGGGGGAAGTAATTTTCAGGAGCTGAGCGTACCTGGCAGATGGGAAGATGATGAAGAGATTCCCACGTATCAACCAGGAGATCACAGAGCTGTGCAAACCAGCTGTATGCATAAATGAGCACAGTGGCAGCAAGCTGCTTGAAAACATGCATATACAGGTTCCATTCAATTCAGTGGGGAATTGCAAGTGGAAAAATTACCCAGCCAGGTAGACAGACACATTTTATCACAAATGGTTTTGTAGATAGCAAGGCAAGCACAACATTTGTACAGAAAAGACCAAAACCACATTGGCAAAAGGCTCTCATGCGATCCAGACAAAGTGAAATTTGTTCAGATGTGGGATAAAACCAGATCTGTGACCTGCTGACTCAATGCAGAGCTGAATTTTCCTCCATGGGAAGCAAATGTCAGCTGCAGTAACAACGAGGGCTCAGCCTTGCACTGAATGGAGTTCTCCAGCTTGCACCAGTACTGCATACACGTAACCTCATGTGTGTATATATAAAGATATATACAGAAATATAGATACAACCCTTAAAATCAAAAGAAGACATGTTCATATCTATGGCTAGGTTAAAAAGCAAAAAGGTAGCTCGCAGCAGGATCAACTGTTGACTGATTACACTTGTCTAAAGATTAATAAGGGTCTCTTACTCCAGCTCTGCCATGCATTTTAGATATGTATGGCTGCTGTGCTTGCAGCTCTGTGCATGTGTGTGTGTGCGCACAGATACCTTTAAGCTCCCAGCACACTTGTCCTTTGTGGAAGAGGTGTTAATTTTGTGTGCATTCAGGTTAAAATGAAACTGCTTGAAAATGGAGTGCTTTGGTGCTAATTGCATTTGGTTAAGTAGGGATCTTGCACACACTGCATCCACAGAGAGAATGCAGGCGTGGAAAAGCTGCGTGGTAGAGCATTTCCTGCAAGTCCTTTGCAAGCAAATAGGTCCTATAGAAGCAGGTATCACCCTCAACTGACTCAGATGCAACCTCCTCACCTGAGTGCTCAGCAGCAAGGAGAAGTTCATCAATTTATTCAGTGTTTGTTCTTAACAAATAAACTGAAACAGGATGAAGAAGGACCAGCTGCCCTGGTAGCCTTGCTAGGTGGGTCAGAAGCTAGGGAGGACATGGGGAAACAACGTTTCTCTGTTAGAGCCCCCATCAGCTTGGTCCTCTCTCCTTAAGGTGGCTGATGGCAGCATGTTTCCTCACTGACACCAACTAGTTATTACTACATAGCCTTCAGCTGGTTCTACCAATAATTCAATTGATCATAGCTGCTGGCCTGCCCTCTAATTCTGGGAGGTGCCCCCTTCATGTTTGACCTGAGCCAGGTCAGCAGGGCTCTCTGGGAAGCCAGACACAGCCATTGCTCATCCTGTCTCTAAGACCCTAGCCTGTCTGCTTGTGCAGTCGGGCAACAGATCACAGGAAAGCCACAGGCCCGGCGGACATTCACAGCAAGCTCATTTCCTCCCTGTAATGAGTCAATGTGCTTCAAATTAATTGTGGCAGTGTGTATTTTGTTAACCTTTCAGATATTACAGTGGGATTAAATAGGAAGCGATCTGCAGGGGGATATGTTCCATTCCTGTAAATGTTAAGGTCAGTTAAAATCCTGTTTATCTGAATGCCTTTAATCTGAAATGCTGTCTTATCTGGATCTCGGTTCTGTCTGTCTCTTTTCTGTATCGTGCTCTGTTTTTTATAGAACACTGTAGTCATGATGCTATCTCAATTACCCACTGAACTCCTTTACTCAAAGGCTTTTCTGAATAGCCAAAGCTGCAGCTTATTCAGTAGATTTTAACATCCCAAAAATATCTATGGGGAAAATAGGATAGTACAGCAGACTTAAGATGGAAAATATAACAGGTTGCATCCCATGGTTAATTAGAAAAGAACCCCTCATAGATTTTCCTTAATTAATCAGGATGCCACATGCAGGTATGAAAATTATATATGCTGGTAAGGAAGAAACATCTTATTATTGTGTTGGGATTTTTCACCTTCAGGCTTCATTCATGTCTCGTAAGAGCAGCTTTCCTCTTTGCTGTTACATACAGAAATCGAAATACATATTTCACTGTCCTTCCCAACCTCAATAACTTTCCTACGTTGTCAGCAACATAAAGTCTGATTGTCTCTTATCATGTCAAGGAATACTGTACAGTAGTTGTGGTTACATTGAGTTGTCGGGATTTCCACGTGTGATTGTATAGGGGAGTTAATGGGGTTGGGAAGCGTCGGTTGGTCACAGATAAGGTGAGCTCTGAGGAATGAGACTTCACGTTTGTGAGAATTTGCAGGCTGCAAGTGACACCTGCACTGTCACTCAAGCACAGAAACACGTTTCTTCCCTCTGTGGGTGCATTAATTCAGTCACAGTGATAAGGCTGTTACTCAAGGGAAGGACTTTTTGAATTCTAAAGGAACACTGACCACTCTGGCAGGGAGCTCCAAGGTATTTTTAACTTCACTTTCCCCAAGTTCTGTGCAAGAAGGTGGCAAATCACTGAAGAAAAAGAAAAACTTTCCACCTGGCTTTCCATGAAAGGCATTTGCTCATACTCATATGATGCTTCCAACACTGAAGCACTGTCCACTTCATAACCTTAGGGCCAGAGCCTCTCCTCAGTTGTACAAGTTGAAGCCAAAGTAATTCTATTGTCATTAATAGAGCAACTCCAAGAGCACGCTGATATAATTGGTAGCTGACTTTTCTATGTGTCTTTAAAACCAGAAAGATCTAGGACTTGTT